TACTCTGGCAGTGACTGCAACACAGAATTGGTGTTCAGAATAGGTTTAGTCTGCGTTCGCTTCAAACCATAGCAGAGAAAAAGTCGGTTCAAACAAACAAACGCTGGCTTTTGAGTGGAGAGAGAAGGAGAAAAAAGTATGTCATTAGTAGTGCTAAAGTCTTGGAACTATGCTTTACACTTGTGAATGAGTGAATACATTGAATGCAATGATGCAAGTCTTCAAACTGGTCTCTCCTACTCTTCTCGTTGTGTTGTTATTCTTGTGCTGCAATTGTGTGGACAGCGCTCTGGAAGACCAGACCAGCACTACTCCACAGTTGACCACCAATAATGATGAACGCATCACAACCGCTCTTCACCGGATCGGACCATCGCATCAACACATCCATCACATCAGTGATCGCAACAAAACTGTTAAGAGATACCAAGTGGCCAAGTTCGACTTTGAACATGTTTCCACACCCTATATCATCTCGCTTTGGATCATAATTGTAGGTCTGGCCAAAATAGGTAAGAGTCCCCCTAACTATGCCTAACCTATCCCTCACATACCCTCACAGACCCTCTCATTCAACACCGGTATATGAAATGTGAGACCTTTTATCGGGCTATCCTTATGTATAGATATACAGGTATTCAATGAAAATATGATTCTTTGTTATAATTTTATTACCTATAAAATGAGAATTAATAGAAAATTTATTATAATTCTCTCGTTTCATATAATATTCAATATATGAAAGCAATATTTGGGTCATTCAATACACTATGAAATAAGAAAAATATTGTTAACTCTTTTCGTGATTACTAAATGAATTATTGATACAAAAAATAATGCAAATCCCAGTCTAATAGTAAGGATTTTTATTGGCGCTTTTCAATGGGAGAATTAAATGATATAAAATACGGTATTTTTCTAATGTATTATCGGATGAATAATTAAATGAGAAAATAATTAATTATTTGAAGAATACATTGCACTGAAAGGTCACACAAAATATCGCATAACATTTTACTAAAGGGAAAGTTGAGTGAATAATACTGTATAAAGTCTGAGAGAGTACTGTATTTGTTTGAAAAGAGTTTCCGAGAGGCAAAACCCATAGACATATAATATAACGTTAGAAAGTACTGTAGTCTACACTTGTCTTCACTCTCTGTAATCAAAACTTTCTTCACGTAAGAAAAGAGTCCAAAACTTCTCAACAAATGACGGCTTACTTACAAAAACCAAAAGTTTTTCTCTGATGTCTATATATTTTCTATTCTTTTCGGAATATTATTATTATTTTGTTTTCATTGAAATAATTTTCTCTTTTTCTATCATTTTTCTATCTTTTATATCTCTAAATAAGATTTGATTACAGATTAAAAAATTAATTTAATACTTGTTTAGAAGTCCATTAATATATTGCATTGAGTTTAAGCAATAGTGGAATTCCAGTCTTAATATTGAATTTCGTGATAAATTAAAGTGTTTTTATCATAAAAATTGATGAATTATTGACTATAAGTTATATCACTAAAGGGCTATATTATAGCTATAATAATAGCTAAAAGCACTCATTAATACAATGGTCGTGGGGCGTCGACCCCGAGTGCATCAAAGATGTCAGCTATAAACTAACTCTGGGCGGCATTTACGCCGGCGTTATACTACCCCTTGTGATCGTTATATTGCTATTTGTCGTGTGTTGGCGCCGACAGCGTAAGGTTAGGGATAAGTATTATCCCACACCTGAAAAGGACTTTCAAATAAGTGGCGTTAAAGTCGACGATCAGTCGTCAGAAAGCTTTCTGAATACCGGCGCCGAATCTCATGAGAAAAATAGTGCTGCCGATAGTGATGAGCCCACACCCGCTAAGTCGGCTATGGTATAGCGTGTAGCACATTATATTTTTGAGTATTCATCAAGATTGAATTGACAATTTTAATTTCTATGTGTTTTTGTTCAATTATTTTAATCAAAGTTGAACATTTTTATTTATGTTACAAATATAATGTATAATTAAATTTTTGTCTTTTGATATTCATATATTGATAACATTTTTCTTAAATACATAAATGTATAGTATTTTAATAAATATAAATATAAATTAAATGTTAGTATTTTAATAAATCTACAATAATCTGTTAAATACAGTGATCTCCTCAAAATGAACACCAGGACTAGTGTAAAAGCATGTGTTAAAGCATTGTAATAACATTATAGTTATCGGTAACTATTTTATATCAAGTTTATTAAAATAAGTGAACGGCTTATCTAATAGTAAGTCTCCTTTTCAATCCAACCTCCCGGACACCTTCTCATCATAAGTTTGCGGATCTCGTCGTAACAAAATAGTGCCAATGAAAAGGGCACTGCTGTAAACCACCATGACCATCTATCATAAATAAACGTGTTCATTTAAAATAAACAATTTGTTGTCATTAAAAATGTTTGGATCCGTACTTTAATGGATACATATTAAGACCACTTTCCAGTCCGGGACAGTAGGACAGGAACAATGCCAGACCCAACTCGAAGAACAGGGCAAAAGTGAGCACATGGTTCCTGACATCAAATATAAATTGCATGTTATAAAAGCGAATAAGAAAACAATGAATGGTTAACATTACTTCATGCCCTGTTGAAAGATGGACAGACGCCGGGTCTTACAACAGACCAGAGCAGCCCATTTGGTGATGACGACCGAGGCAAAAAATGCCGTGTGACACGTGTACTCCAGGGTCTTTCGTTGATGGTAAGTCTGGGTATGAGTATCAAAGTAGAGGCATAAATACTAATTGCTAAATGTTTTTTAATAGAGGCAATTATTACCCATTCCTGTCCGTAAGAGTCAGTGAGTGAGTTAATGGCCTTTGAGTCCCATTTGTTTCGTATGCCAAAGAGATCCCAGGGCTGGAAACCATTCTCACTCATAATAACAATGTATGTGAAAAAACCGGCAAACGCTTGGAAAAAGCCCATTTGGCCGTAGGATATAGACACCAGTCTGGTAGAGGTGTGGTTAGCAACAAGTTTAATAAAACAGCCACCAAATTACTATTAATACATTACCTTTCGGTAACCAAATGGTCCTGTTTGGGGTTACGGGGTTTGCGTTTCATAATATCACTCTCTGGCCCCTCGTAGGCCAATGAGATGGCCGGCACCATATCAGTGCCGAAGTCGATGCACAGTATGGTTATAGCGCCCAAAGCTAACGGTATATTGAGACAGAAAAAGGCCACAAACGGCAACATTTCGGGCATTTTGGAGGACAGTGTATAGCAAATGGACTTTTTCAAGTTGTCAAATATAACCCGTCCCTCTTCTATGCCCGTCTCGATCGATGAGAAGTTGTCGTCCAGAAGTATCATATCTGCCGCCTGTTTCGACACATCGGAGCCGGCGATACCCATCGCTATACCGATGTCGGCCTTTTTGAGCGCCGGTGAATCGTTCACACCGTCACCCGTGACGGCCACTATCGCTCCCTGACGTTGACAGCCCTCCACTATAATCAGCTTTCGGAGCCGGCGATACCCATCGCTATACCGATGTCGGCCTTTTTGAGCGCCGGTGAATCGTTCACACCGTCACCCGTGACGGCCACTATCGCTCCCTGACGTTGACAGCCCTCCACTATAATCAGCTTTTGTTGCGGTGAAGTCCGCGCGAACACAATCTCCGTGTGGTTTCGCAATATTGAGTCCAAGTCTTCGGGTGTGAAGTCCTTTAAGTCCTGGCCGTGGATTACCGCCGCTTTGACCGACCTATGAGTTACAATTGGGTTATTTACCTCAAATACGAGCAATCAAAACATTAATTCAATTAAACATTAATTGAGTTTTAATTCATTGATTCATAAACTTTTATGTTCAAATATAAATAACTGTTAATTATATGAAAATGTATGCAAACCGGGGATCAATTTTGTCGACATCTGTCTTAAGCCTGAGAGCCATTTCCTCTTTGGTCTCGTTTTCATCTGAAATAATACCAACGGCTCTGGCGATGGCTTTGGCAGTGATTGGGTGATCGCCGGTAACCATAATCACTTTGATGCCAGCGCTGCGACACTTGCTCACGGCGTCGGGCACCGCTGGTCGGGGCGGGTCTATCATCGACACTATGCCTATAAACCTGAGGCCATCCATCGGGAAGTTCTCCCTCTCGGCGTCAAACGGGAAATCATACGGATATTTGTTTTCCGGCAAGAATTTGTCGCACAAACCTATACATGAGGGGGTGAATGGGGGTGGGGTAGAGTTATTTAACTTGATAAAACTACGCTGAAAATAACCAAACTTACCGATAACACGTTCGCCCAAACTACCAAGCTCCTCATAGGCGGCCTGAAACTGGTGCCTTACTTTGGCATCCAATGGCAACTCTTTGCCGTCAGTGATAATTGTGGTGCACTTCTCAAGTATGCGTTCGGGCGCTCCCTTCATACACAGCCAATGGCCCCCCTCTTGACGCGACTCATTGATGGCGAGCGCGTACTTATTGGTTGAATTGAATGGCACTTCAAACACCTTCGGGTGCTTTTTCCTATACCCCTCCACATCCGAAGTGATAATCTCCATGTATTTCAATATCGCCACTTCAGACGCGTCGCCGATTGCTTCCCTGTATAGGATTTTAGCGGTAAGTTATAGTGTATACAGTGTGTAGTTGGCACTGATAAGGAGGTTAAGGGGTGGATATTGGTTGCATTATATGCCACCTTTTAAGTGGTGATAAGCGTTCAGATCCGGCCACAAAATCGGCTCGACTACAAAGACAGCACACTTTGACCAACGCTTTCCAGGCCGGACAGTCTGTGTCCACTTTATTGCCTGTAAATTAGACATCAATTCATTATTTTACATTTATAATGTTAGAATTTAAGTTTTAGACATCGTTAATTGTACTTAATTTACATGAGAAGTGTAATGTTTTTAATTAAATAATAAGTTAATTATAATAAATGTAATGTTACCATCTTCGTGTCCGATGAGATTGTCGGCATCAATGATGGTATGATTGCACCACAGATGAGATACAGTCATCTTGTTTTGAGTCAATGTTCCGGTTTTGTCGGTACAGATGGTGGACGTGGAGCCCAATGTCTCGACCGCCTGCAAGTTCTTCACCAAACAATTCTTGGATGCCATGCGTTTGGCCGTCAGAGTCAACACCACTGTCATCGTGGGTAACAGGCCTTCCGGCACCTGAGCCACGATCAGACTTATGAAGAATATGACACTGTTTAACCACGTGTAGCCCAACAGGTACGAGGTAACTAGAAAGGGATTGAGCACTATTAATTCTGGTTGTGTTTAGTTAAAGTGTATGGTATGGCTCACCGGCGAAGGCACCGGCAACTAAAATGGATACAGTGGTTATGATACTCATAAATCGGGACACATCTTGCGATAGTGGTGTGTCGTTGGCCTCTAAACCCGCCGCCAGAATCGCTATCCGACCCATAATAGTCCGATCGCCAGTGCGTACGACAAACCCACGGGCGCTACCTATCAATTGTGAGCAATATGTCAACAACAAAAACCATGATCATAATTTTTTATCAAACAAATGATACCTTCCACACAATTAGTTGAGAAAAAGGCTAAATTCTTGGTCTCCAACGGGTTCTGATTGGTGCAGTCAGGCGTACGGGAGAGGGGCTCAGACTCGCCGGTCAACGACGAGTTGTCCACTTTGAGTCCCTGCGATTTGATGATACGCACGTCTGCGGGCACCTGATCTCCGCCCTTGAGCTCCACGAGATCGCCCACAACCAACTCCTCCACCGGACACATCATCTTAGAGCCCGACCTGATAACAGTGGCCGAGCGGGGGATCAGATCTTTGAACGAGTCCATAATGTTGGCACTCTTGGCCTCCTGCCAGTACGAGAAACAGCCCGATATAAACACCACCGTTGCCAACGCAACGCCCAAATAGATCTACATGATTTAAATGAAAGTGTTGGTGGCTGTGATTGTGATTAGTTGCGGTATACCATACATTGTCGGGTGGCACTTCATCAGGCTCCAATGTGGTGATTTGTATGGTGTATGCGATGAAACATAGAGCCGCTCCAATCCAAAGAAGTACATTAAACCAACCGAACATATTCTGCACGAATCGCACCCATTCTGGGGTCACCTTCGGCGGTGTGATTGAGTTGGGACCGTCTCGTTGTAGTACTTGTTTGGCCACACCTGGTGTTAACCCCTGTATTGTCGTAAACCAACATGGTTAAAAAGTTGTTCAGCACTTCCAATAAATGAACATTGAGCTTATTGTGTGTAAAAATTTGACATAAACTGGTATTTTGTACAGTTTTATATACAGTAGTAATATTCAATGAATTACTGTTACAGATCTGTACAATACTGTACACGCTTTACATTAATTATTTTTTGAGCAAATAGTTTATTATGAAATTACAAACATCTTAAGCATTAATAAGAAATGATAATTATTGTATATAATAATGATAATAAATGATATGATAGTTGAAATAAATGTATACTAACTAGATCGGTGTTTGTCTGCAAGCGTTTACAGAGTTGGTTGAGTGGTATGCTGTGGTCATCCATTTCCACCTCTGCCTTCAGATTATCCATCTCTAACTTCTTGTTTTTCTTCTTCGACTTCTTGTCCATCCCTTCGGCAGACTTTTCATTGTTTCTGCGATTCTTTTCATTAGTCTTATCCCTATAGGCAATGGTCTCCACGTTTTGATTCTCGTCCAACCGATCGCCGGCGCCGGCATTCTGTATGTTATACTATGGGTTATAGAAATTACAACATTAACCATCATTAACCCAACAATCTGACCTGTGTCAGACACGATTAGATCTAATAACACTTATATACCATTTGCTTAGACATATGATTGACAAAAATTGTTTTATATATTTAATATATTTAGTTAAAATGTATACTCAAAAGAATTTTATGAAAATAAAACTTATGTTTCAGTAATTAATTAAAAGAATATTATTAACCGTCATTTAATATTAAATCCCATTTTATTAATGACGAGTGTTTTTAATATCTTCTAACTCTCACTCTTAGTCTATGCTTTTTATGGCAAAAAATGCAACACTTTTTATATTGTTTTCCAATAAATCAAAGCAATGACTAAACGAGAAATTTATTTGTAATTAATATTAGGTATTCATTAGTGATGTTCATTAAAGACTTAAGCAATAAATTTTATTGTTTGAAATCCGCTTATATTGTGAATTCGAGACCTATTGCTGTAAATATATTGTAGAAGTTCAGAATTAAATGAAATGCACAATGTAATATATAAAGTCTTTATATATTTAATTTTAATTAATATTTTAGTTAAATAGTTCGCTTTCTATTCATAGTATTAAATATTAAACATTGTACTTTGTACCATTATTTGTATTTTTAAAAGTATTGTTAAATGCTTTTCAATAATTCTAGCTAATTCACAAGAATTATTACTTAAATATAAACAATTATTATTATAGTTTACAGTAGATAATATACAATATATGCCAGTATTATAACTTATAATTTATAAGCAAATTAACTTTTAGAAACTGTGCATAAAGTAACCCTGTTTGATTTTTATATTGTATTTATTAATATAAATAAAGTAAAGTTATTTAAAGTAAAATTACCAAACGTAATCATTGGAGCATGGCCCGTCGGCCTGTTCCCCACTATAACCTAAACACATTACTAATAAATAACCATGGTCAGTAAACCTGTTTCTGTAATATAACCATTTATATAATTGTATTTCGTTTTTTAAAATCAGTATTTCCTAGATCACAATTAAATTTGTTATTATTAGTTTACAATGATTTACATATTGTATTTTAAAATTAGTTTAATATTATTATAATCAAATAATTTGCTTAAATTATAATTCTTTTATTTAAGTAATTTATTATTGAAATTTCTAAAAAAATCAATTAATAAAATTATAGAACATTAAGTCAGACATTTTTAATGTGATTTTTAGGTAAATGTTGTTTTTGTTGCCAAAAATAAATAAAATCACAAATTCATGATTTTTATTGCAAAATCTTATTCTATAAAAAAATATACAGTACATTACGGTAAAGTATGCAATTTTACACAATTACTTTTTCAAGGCTTTTAAAACATACAAAAATATATATTTAAAAATTATTAATAATTAAATGATTCAGTTAATATTATTAAAAGTTAATAACATAGTTGAGAGAGAGAGAGAGAGAGAGAG